TAACACACTTACATGAAGAAAAAAAACAACTGGTTTCTCTCTCCCACACTCTGAATTTTCGTGACCATGTTTTTTATTTCTTATCATCTAGAAAATACCATTACTGATTTTATTAACTGTCAATATACTGTAAGTATGGTTAAAACTTATTGTGGGATTTTCACAGTTGAATCCACGAGTCCATCTAAATTAGACCAATATTGAAAACCTGAAAGCACTTGACGACCATTTCGTCCTAGTGTGGGACTCTTCAACAGTCCGCATCCACGATCCCACATGCTGGACTCGAACCCAAGACCTTCGGTCTCATGCGCGAACACTTACCTTTTAGACCACTGATCCACCAACATCCAACAGTGTCAATGTCTAACCTCAACAACTCAAAAATCAGACAACGGATTAAGTGCTTGACTTTGGCCAAACCAGTTGATTTGTGAGTTAATGGGCTACTTGCTGTCCTAATTAGATAAAGAGAAGTTCAACTCATCTGCATGTTGATCGAAAGTTTGGTGTTGTAGCCGTTAAAACATCACACTGGTAGACACTAAATTGACTTAATAATTCTGAATTACTTCAAAAGTCTATTTCGTATTTACAGGTGGGCGTTTTGGCTCAGCGAATTTATTTAACTGCTAATCAGTTATGAATGCTGTTCGGGCTTAATTGATTTCATGGTAAAACTATTATTTATGGACGACCTTTGAGCGACGCCAAAGTGACCTTGAGAATGTCCACCTACTAACCAGGACTAAATATGAGGGTTATAAAGAAGTGTGAGGAATTCGAATTATGATTTACAATTAACGGTTAGGGTTACTTTCATTTGAGAGATTCCGTCTACTTTGAATAACAGGACAATTCTTACTACATTACGTCTCAGATTAAGTCTGTATTAGAAGCAACGAGTGTTTAGTTTACTTAAAGAAACAAAGATTTCTAGCTCAGGAGAATGATTTTGGTGGGGTTACGTTTTTTAAGTTGAGTGAATTAATGGTGAAGCTTTTACTGTCTTTCTAAACAAAATCATCAGCACAAAATCCAGATGGAAGTGTTTTCATACCCTGTCATTTTTAATGTATGATGATACAAGAAGCCTCTTCTGATCAACCTCAAGCAATTTCAACGTTAAATAAACCTATTTTCAACAAATCCATTAATAGGGTGGTTGCTAGTCAGAGTTATATCTTGAATTTTGCATGAAAAACTATAAGTTGCTGACTTCATTCTGATTAGCTCGGTGGTAGAGTACAGGTGCATCGATATAGGTATTTTTCCAAAAATATGATAAAACCTAAAGCAAATTTAAGAACAATACATTTGGGCTGCCCATGCTCCTCCACGAAAAGTAATAGGTGTAAGTTAATCAAAGCAAATTTATTTGTGATTTGACACTCCCATTCAATGTATATGTAGTTGTATCAAAGAAAAATATTTATTTAAAGATGTTATTCGTTACTCTTTGTAGACAAAAGCGCTATAATCAAGCCACCATTTATGTACTAGTGTGGTGTATGTTACTTATACCGATAGACATAAGTAGTATGTAGTACCAGTTGGAAGAGGAACGTCTAGTAACAGAAGGTTGGGAAGAGTAGAACAAGAAGGTAATCGGATGGCAATCGAAATAACAACAAAATTAGAGGAACAATGCAGTACATGAATGACAACGTAACGAAAATGTACAAATGATGTACTTAATCCATGATTTACATATTTTACCAAGTCCCTAAGTGATGGATTTCCCCGCCTGTATTTTCGTTCACCAGAATGGGTTGAATAGGATTTTAAAATCACCGAACTTCTGATATCATGAATAAAAGTATTTCAACGTTAGGTGTAAGGATATTCTTTTCAGTGATACTAAATGCGATGGCCTTGGTTAGCAATAACTTACGAGTCTAAAGCATAAATTAGTCTTTAAGTTTATCGATATGTGTAGATTAATTAGCCTGGTAATATGGAGCTAAATAACCCAGTCATTTGAAATTCTTTCTGCTCAGAAGCCCTGAACAATACTCTTCCATATGATTAGACGGTAATAGTGGAGTTGCTTTGAAAATCCATTCAATAACAATAGAATTTCACCCAAGGTCACTGAGAGGTGAAAATAAATCCACAGAAAGCTGTATGAATTCGTCATCTCAGTACAGCTGACGTTATAAATAAGCATGTAGAACGTCTCTAATCACATGGACAAAAGACTTATTTGGCCACTATCTGTTATACATTAATTTATATCCTTGCAAATCACCCTATTTTTCGACTCTAATCTAAATATTTTATAATCGTGCATAACTTACCATCCAATCTCTCTGGTATGTCATTGATAAATCTTCATTAAATACATCGCTATTCTGATTTATTTTCTACACTTAATAAATTTTTCTATCCGACGAAAACAATGTTAAGGTCTAAGAAATGAATGAGCTTGAGAAGACAATAGTGAAAAAACCATCTCATTGAATTACTCGTTTGCGAAATGGTTTATTTCCTGAATAATCTCATGATTTGAAAGCAATTCTCAGTGATGTATGATATTATTAGCTTTATAAACTTGTCACTCTGTTTTATGACTCCTACTAATGGAGTCTCAAACTAGATAGAAACAGCTGCCCAGTATATTCAATGTTACACACCTCTAATCTGACTTTTTCCATAAGGACCACGAAGCTACTTATGAGTACTATGAATGTTTGTATAAAACATTTCACATAACGATGCAACATTAGTGATTCCAATAGAATTTCAGTGACACTAATTTCACCAGTAAACCGTATTTTATTGATTTAAATGTACACTTTTTGTTAGCTGAATCTAAAACTTCGGGTAGAACACATGAACAACACCCTAGTGCATCAATTATAAGTAATTTACTGTCAGTGAAAAAAATTACTAACAATTTTCTTTACAAAGAAGTGTACAAACTAACTGACTTTGGTTAAATGATATGCTCAGTACGATAATCATCGTATATCAACAAAATGACCGATCTCCAAGTGTAGTTTAGAAAAATGTTCTCTGGGAACTGTTTTTGTCAATTTTCAGCTTCTGAAGCATCACTTAACATTTTCTATGCTCAACAATTCCATTTCAAATAGAAAAAACCCACTACCCTTAAAACTTCGAAATGCTGTTATCCAAGTTACTCCTATACTACTATTAAAATTTAATTAGTTACAGTTTCGTGTCGTCAGTTTTAAGTTACATTGTTTTTAATGAAAACTAGCTATAATACTCGGATATTTTAACCGAAGTATAGATTTTATCTACAAAAAGTGACTAAACGTCAGTTTCTCTAACCACACTGCTGCTAAATACGAAACGCAATCAATTTGAATGCTGATATATCGCTGAATAGAGTGAAATATAAGCTTACTGAAATTCATGTTTGTACATAGTTAGTTTTGAAATTTTGTACATAGAAGTGACCGGAAAGTTCATTTTAGATTAAAAATGTAAGATAATGTTTACTGATATATATGAAGTCTCCGTACCTTGAGATATATGATTGATCAGACAATCATACTATTACAGCCTTGATTCTAACTAGAAATGAGTATAGTTTACTTTCCAAGGTAGCCATCAACAAAACGTACCTTGAAAATTTCACTTACATCTTCCATAACGGGATAGAAGTATTGGCCAGTTAGATCAAATTAAATTCATTTCAGCTTCTAAATATAAGATATTAAGACTTTTAAAGGGTATCTTGACCTAGCTCAATCTAACACAGTATTACATAAGTATTTTATCAACCTCATATCAAAATTTTTGTAGAATAATCAAGAATATAAGGCATTCGAGTGAATAAAAAACACGTATTTTGAAGCGGCATATGGCACCAAAAGGTGCAAGATTACGTAATATGTGGCTGAAGTAATTGGCACCAATTCAACGGAACCTAACTTACATATACTAAGACGATATATCTAGACTCGTTGTCTACCTTAGCTCACATTAGGCTCGTTCCATTCGTAGTTCCAATGTCGTCCCTTGTCTCTTCATTATGAGTTGCACTCATTCCATGAGATTTTTTAATCTCTCATTGCTGAATCATCTTGTTTTACATGATATTCTTACTAATAGTTGTTACTGTTGTTGTCGTTCTTCCTTCTCTTCTTCTTATTCTTCTCCTTACTATTATTATTATTATTACAACTAAGACAACAGCTCCTATCTTGTATTAGCTTTCTTTCATGTAGGATTTTAACTTATTGATTAGAACTCATTACCTTAAGACATAATTTTCCTTATCCTCTTAACATTACTGATGACGTCATACTTTTTGCTAGTAATTCTTAGTATTTAAGACTCAATCGACGTGATATTTGCCACTTTCAATTGATGACATGGATTAATCTCACTTAAGTACTTCTTCTATTGTAACACAATAATAATTTTGGATTTATAACTATACAGCTTGACGAAGAAGTTGTTGAAAACGACTATTCGCTCCAATGCCTTGAATACAAAAAAATATAAGATAGGGTTGAATATGACAAAATGGTTATGAAGCGTCTATTCTTTTGTATTTAAAATCATATTGTATATAAGCCACAAATGCGCTAATGTTGTGTATGTGATAACATAGATGTACACAACTTAAAATTTGTTACGAAAGTCTATTTGCAAAGTACATACCTAGATAATGTCTGTCCTAAGATAGTTAAACACTCCATCTTCAACCACCTACTAGCAGTTTATTTCACTTGGTCTCCCATTTGGTCACTTAAAGTATTGGCTTAATCCCAGATCTATGTATAATTTTCGAAAAGTTACTAAACAGTATTTAACGGTACAGTTTTCTCTAAGATAGATAAATTAACAGTGAAGGTTTCATCTTATTTCTAAACAATATCGATCCATGGTCCTGGAAATTTCGCAAATAATAAGTAGCTATCTTTCATCAGACATTAAGGTTAAAATGTATTTAACCAATTCCATTCAACAGTAAACCTTGAACTATGTTCTGTTAAGTGACTAAGAATATCATATACAGGTCAACCAGTCAAAATTGTGTAATATATAAAATAACAAGTACACAAGGGTGTTACAACGAATCCTTGTATCAAATGAATTATCTTTTTAAACAAATGAAAATACAATCATAGCCATAACTTTAAAAAAAATTCAGAAGGATTGCAATGACGATCATATTCTTTTTTCCATTAACAAGATGAAATGCCAACAGAAGAGATTATATAAATATTGATTTCGTTTAATTCGTCTTCGTTTGATTATCAGGTCTGTATTTGTAATTATCCCAACCTTCACAACACGGCTGTTTAATATGTCGAAATTTTTGACAGCATTCAATAAGTGAAGTTATTTCCCTTGTACATCGAGTAACATCGAAATCATTCCCTAGTCAAATTGTAACAACAATAGATGCAATAAGTTTAGGGATGGAAAAGAATACTTACTAATTAAACAACTTTGAATTTTACATGCTAAAGGTTTACAAGGTAGATCCATGCTGCATGTGGAATCACTAAAAAAAGAGAAATTTGTCTGTCATCATCACATTACATAAATTTAGTGACAGTATAACTGCTAACTTTCCAAAAATGATTAAATAATTCATCTTCGAGTGAATAACATTACTAAGTCAACGAAGTAGGAAAATTTTCTTTATTTTGGCATGAAAATTAATTGAAACAGGTTTTCAATGGAGCATGAACAAAAACTAGAAATTTTGTGAAAGACTAAAATCAGATTCTAGCAATGAAAATAGTAAGTACTACGAGGGTACCACTGATGATCAAGAAGAAATTATGTATGCTTCAAGAAATGATGAAGAGTAAAAGCTTTACTTAGTAGTAAGCTTGAAAAAGCAATACTTTGTAGCGTATAGACATACCTTTTGAGGGGAAATGGAAGCATTTTGCGGATATATTTCAGATGGTTTACACAGTTAAAAACAGAAGAGAAGTTTCTGCCTAACGAGCTTACATATCTAGTAGTAATGGATAACCGATGGCTCCAGGCAGAGATCTAGGTTTATGAATGTATCAAAGTTCTTTTTGAATGACTCCCGGGGAATTCGCCTAAAGGACTTCAGCTAGTAACAAGATCAAAAACTTGACTATTCGTAAGGAGTAGATGCTACGCCTGCAGTTCGGTTTATTGTACTGTACCTTTAATTTACAGTTATTCTCCCTAGGGTTGAGTTAGGTTGGAAATGAACTTGAGTATTTCAGAGGATTCCGGGAATGTTTAGAAGCCAGTAAGTCAAGGAAGAGGCATCCTCTTTCTAATACGTTAGTCACATTAGTCTAATCAATATAAAAGTTTATATATATATATATTACTTTGGTGATGGGAATTTAAAAATAAGTTAGTTAACGACAGCACTGAGAATCAATCAAGAATACTGACTAATTTAATGAATCTCCTAAAACCTGGGTTTCAAGCTTTGTTGATGGAAGTCTATCGGAACTTCTGAAATATAGTAAAGTAATAAATACAATAAAATTGGTTTGTCGCATCTATGTAAATATGTTTAGTTAGATTTATTTTAGAATTACTAATAACTGCATATTTTCATCCTGCATCTAGTTTCACAAATACTCACTGACGTCTATATAAATTGTTCCACACAAAATTCACTAACTTCTGTACATTCCAGAAGTTTCGCTAGACTTTTAGCAACTTCTTTAGCTACCTAGTCTATAAACCCTTAGCAAGGTGACTCCAGAGATTTCTTTAGACATTAACTGGTTTAGTATCTTTTTATCAACCCAATGTCACGCTCAAAACGAGCTCTAGGTTCTGAGCTTCATTATTTGAATCTATGAAAGACAACTGACCGGTCACTAAGGTCAGTCTTTAATTTTTCAGCTACTGTTTTTTTCAGGGGGGGGAATGATTTTTCTTTAGTAACATCAGGTCTTTTTTATTCTTGATCTGTACCCATTCATCAACTTTCATTGGAGTAGCAATCACACTAGCGATACGCACACTGTGGGGTCCTGAGTGAGTGTCGACGACATGGGTTATTGTTTTTCTTACAAGAAACAGACCTAGCCTTGCTACTAGGCTTCTAGATGTTTGAGATGGTGGTATTCCCCGCTCCTTGCCATTCGGTGGGTTGGGGACAGAAGAAACTTTTCTTGAGTTTTTGTTTCCAAAATGAACATATGACAAATTACTTTTAAAAAACGATACATTTGGTGGTAACTTTAACTTAAATACATTCAATTAAAGCGAAACCATTAAAGCTCCCAACTTAGGGGGGAATTTTGGGGAAATCCCCAAAGTGAAATAGACTTCCCCAAAGTTTACAACAGCGGCTTCCCCGAATTTGGGAGCTTGGGTAGTAATCCTGACGCGTGATTAACGATACAAACAATAAAATTAACTCAGCAATGAAAAACATGAATTCCCTTTTAAAATAAAGCCCTGTATGTGAACAATATCAGGAAGACAGATCGGCAAGACCTACTATAGTAGGTCTGTGGACATGTAATAAAGATACATTCTAATTACTGAAGACTGAACATGGGCTCAGACGATTCGTGGAGTTTAACATCGTCTCTCCTATACCCAACCTCCCAATTCTGGGGAAATTTTGGAGAAGCCGTCATAGTAAATTTTGGGGAAATGGCACAATAACCCCAATTGTAGCACGTATTCTTAGCGTTTACCTGGAGGCAGGAGCAATCTGAAACACAACACAACAGTCAGGACTGGCAGATGCCACTCAAGTGAGAACACGGCGTGCGAGCACAACAGAGATATATTAGAAATTGAAATACGCGGTTTTTGTACAAAAAGAGAAGTCTGTTACAAAATAGTTTTACTCATCATCCAGCAGGTTTAGTTTGAGCAAGCTTTGTTCCTCTTCTTCTAATACGTTCACTTTCTGTTGTCCTGCAATAAGGAAAACAAACCTGCATTAATAAAGTTACACGTAATGACTTTCGATACTGTTACACTATCCCCTCTCTTCATGAGGCACTGTCCTCAGTGCCTGGTGCTGGACATGGGTATGCTACCCCTCCATCTGGTGGCACTTCATAATGGCTGACGGCAGTCGGGGGGTTGACAAACGGGGTATCTAAGTGCACCGTTGTCTTGTCTGGCTTTAATTGATTGTAGTGTACTGTTATAACATCGTCTTGGGGTCGTTGGAGGTTACGTAAGACGAATGTAGTGGGAGACCGCATAAACACAACTTCGTAAGGTCCTTGCCAAGGGTGATGGAACTTGCTGCATGTCCCCGGTGGAACCAAAGGGCGGTGCAGCCACACACGATCTCCGGGTTTATACACAGGTCCGTTCGTCTTGCGATCGTACACGTCCTTTTGGTGCTTGCTGGCATTTTGTAGGTTGATCTTCACTAAGCGATAGGCGTCGGCTAGGCGGCTGCGAAGATTACGGATGTATACTACATGATCTTGGACTTCGCATGGTAACAGCGGTATTTGCAGCTCAACGGGTAGGCGCAATTCATGCCCAAAAAGTAGGGTCGCCGGTGAAAATCCTGTAGATCCGTGCACTGATGAGCGGTAAGCTAACAGACATTGTGGTATCACGTCATCCCAACATTCCGTCGACGACTTATTGATAAACGATTGAAGGAGAGCCTTGATAGTCCTGTTGGTTCTTTCCACTAAGCCGTTACCTTCTGGATGATATGCGGTAGTGTGTGTTTTCCGGATTCCCAATAATCGACATACCTGGGCGACGAGATGACTTTCAAAAGCTGAACCTTGGTCAGAATGGAGTGAGAGGGGAGCGCCGTACCGGGATACCCAATGATCAATGAAAGCCCGAGTGACTGTGAGGGCATCTTGTTGTGGTATAGGCACAGCTTCACACCATTTGCTGAAATAGTCTACCATAACCAGTAAATAACGGTTTCCGTTCTTTGACGTTGTGAGTGGCCCCATAATATCGATGCCAACTCGCTGATGCGGACCTTCTGTCGTCATTGGAACTAAGGGTGCGCGAGGTATTTGTCGGGGTGACTTGATAGCATAGCACGTGCTACAATTTTTGCAGAATTCTGCAACGTCTTCGTGGATGGATGGCCACCAAAACCTTCCGCAGATAGCATGTTCAGTCTTCCGTGTTCCTGAGTGCCCCAGTTCTCGGTGTACCTGCTCCATAATATTCTGAACTTGTATACGTGGTACTATCAATAGTGGTTGTTTTGATTCACTGACTATAAATAGCGTGTCTTCATACAATCTTAGACTGCCCCACTTGGCACAAAGACGGCGCGTCGCTAAGGAATGATCCTTTAACTCTGTCATAGATGGTTTATTATTGCCATGTAGTTGCCTCTGATAAATAAATCGCAGATCTGGGTCTTCTGCTTGAAGAGACGGCCAGTCGATCTCGGGGGCTGTGCTAAGGACGGCACTAATGGTATCAGGAGAATAAGGTATACGAGATAGAGAATCAGCGTTTGTGTGTCGGCTTCCGGGTCGGTATTCACAGGTAAAATCAAACTCCTGCAACCTCTCCTGCCAGCGCGCTACCTGACCTTCTGGTTCACGGAACGAACGAAGCCACTGTAGTGCACGGTGGTCTGTGCGTACACGAAAGGGTCGTCCTAAGAGATAGTGACGAAAATGTTGCGAAAATTTTACCAAAGCCAGCATCTCTCGGCGCGTCGTAGAATACCTTGTCTCCCTCTTATCTAACCGCCGACTAGCGTAAGCAATGACCCGCTTCTGTCCATCTAGTGCTATTTGAGACAGGACTGCTCCAATAGCTGATGAACTAGCATCTGTATCGAGTATAAATTCACCCGCTTTAGCAGAAGTGTCCGGAAAAGCTAGTATTGGTGGAGCAGCAAGACACGACTTCAAAGTGCTAAATGCTTGTTGACATTCTGTGGTCCACAAAAATGTTCGTCCTTTGTGCGTCAGGCGATGCAGAGGTGCTGCCAATGATGCGAAATCCCGTACGAAACGTCTATAATAAGAAGCGAGTCCCAGGAAGCTGCGAACATCCTCGGCAGATTTCGGTTGTGGCCAGTTAATAATGGCGCTCGTTTTTCCCTGATCTGTTGCTACTCCATCTTCTGTAATGCGATGCCCTAGAAAGAGCACTTCTTTTTGCAATAGTCGACATAAACACCTCCATCACCACTTGTAGCACGTATTCTTAGCGTTTACCTGGAGGCAGGAGCAATCTGAAACACAACACAACAGTCAGGACTGGCAGATGCCACTCAAGTGAGAACACGGCGTGCGAGCACAACAGAGATATATTAGAAATTGAAATACGCGGTTTTTGTACAAAAAGAGAAGTCTGTTACAAAATAGTTTTACTCATCATCCAGCAGGTTTAGTTTGAGCAAGCTTTGTTCCTCTTCTTCTAATACGTTCACTTTCTGTTGTCCTGCAATAAGGAAAACAAACCTGCATTAATAAAGTTACACGTAATGACTTTCGATACTGTTACACTATCCCCTCTCTTCATGAGGCACTGTCCTCAGTGCCTGGTGCTGGACATGGGTATGCTACCCCTCCATCTGGTGGCACTTCATAATGGCTGACGGCAGTCGGGGGGTTGACAAACGGGGTATCTAAGTGCACCGTTGTCTTGTCTGGCTTTAATTGATTGTAGTGTACTGTTATAACATCGTCTTGGGGTCGTTGGAGGTTACGTAAGACGAATGTAGTGGGAGACCGCATAAACACAACTTCGTAAGGTCCTTGCCAAGGGTGATGGAACTTGCTGCATGTCCCCGGTGGAACCAAAGGGCGGTGCAGCCACACACGATCTCCGGGTTTATACACAGGTCCGTTCGTCTTGCGATCGTACACGTCCTTTTGGTGCTTGCTGGCATTTTGTAGGTTGATCTTCACTAAGCGATAGGCGTCGGCTAGGCGGCTGCGAAGATTACGGATGTATACTACATGATCTTGGATCTCGCATGGTAACAGCGGTACTTGCAGCTCAACGGGTAGGCGCAATTCATGCCCAAAAAGTAGGGTCGCCGGTGAAAATCCTGTAGATCCGTGCACTGATGAGCGGTAAGCTAACAGACATTGTGGTATCACGTCATCCCAACATTCCATCGACGACTTATTGATAAACGATTGAAGGAGAGCCTTGATAGTCCTGTTGGTTCTTTCCACTAAGCCGTTACCTTCTGGATGATATGCGGTAGTGTGTGTTTTCCGGATTCCCAATAATCGACATACCTGGGCGACGAGATGACTTTCAAAAGCTGAACCTTGGTCAGAATGGAGTGAGAGGGGAGCGCCGTACCGGGATACCCAATGATCAATGAAAGCCCGAGTGACTGTGA